AATAATAATAATAATAATAATAATAATAATAATAATAATAATAATAATAATAATAATAATAATAATAATAATAATATTAATAATAATAATAATAATAATAATAATAATAATAATGATAATAATAATAATAAAAAAGTATTCAATAATTTTTTTCAGAAAAAATATCGACCTAAGAAAAAGAAAAGTCAAGAAAAAAAAGAAGTTGAAACTGTCGAAATCGCTTACTGCTATATTAACAACAACTGATACTGAGAGAGAACAGAAAACAACAGAAAAGGAAGAAGCTGAAACTGAAATGGATACAGAAGAACTAACTGCTACCGAAAATAAAGATGAGGAATCTGAATTAGAAGCAACAGTTGACAGGTGCGACAAGAGTGTACAATTTTTCTGTATTATTCAAAAGAAAAAATTTTTTTTTTTGAATCTAAATCTGTCTGCGGTTAAGATGATGTAAATGAATATGGGAAAAAAATTTTTGATCATAAAAAAACGATTAAATTTTAAATAATTATCGTGATAAGTTATTGATACAATAATCATTTATATGTCGGAAATGACTGTTACACTTTTATCGTACTGTTTTCAACGTTTTTGTAAAATATTTTGATGGAAATGTTAGTATTAGTTAGAAGTAGGAAGAAAAAAAATTCAATATTTCAATCATAAATTGAAAGTAACCTTTTCAGGTCTGATAGGAAGAAAAAAGAAATACAATCAGCAGTACCTTGTGCTAGTGGTACTAAAGAAATAGCGGCACCTTGTGCTAGTGGTACTAAAGAAATAGCAGCACCTTGTGCTAGTGGTACTAAAGAAATAGCAGCACCCTGTGCTAGTGGTACTTCAGTCAGCTCTAAAACACCGCTTGAATTATCACTGATACCACCTCAATTTACGCAAAATTCTACGTCCAGGACTAAGGGTTCACAAGAATATATTGTACCACTTATCAGTTTGAGTCCGGAACGTACTCTTTTAGTTGCAGCAGATGTAGCTGGTGTCAGCAATGTTAGCAGCAGTGGTTCGCATAAAAGTGATAGTGGTTCTTCGGTCACACCGGAATTTGATATGTTTGATGATGAACCAGTCATCCTCTCCACACCAGCATGTCAAGTTCTGGGGATCATAATGAACAAACAATTTTTTAAAAATTCCGCAGCATCAGAAACGGAAAATAATTTAATCCGGATGTATTTTGCTGAAAAGATTCCTCCGGAACGTGAAAAGGATGCCCGGGAAGCTTTAGAAAAAGCAGTTAGTCTAGCTGTGACAAGAGTTAAATCAAGTGGATTGAGTGAAGATTTATACAGTTTCCTAAATAATAATCGTGCAATGGCAATTAGCTTAATGATCGATGCGATGAAATATCGGAAAAAAGAATTTGTACCAGAGTTCTGGATCTATGACCGAACAAACAAAAACGAACCGCCATCAGAGCCTTCCTCCTAAAAAAATGCTTCTTTTGTAAAAAAAAAAAGAAAAAAAAATTTGAAAATCCCTTGTATTTTTTATAGCCACTCTATTCTCTCTATTTTGACAAAACTGTTATACTTTTTATTTCAAGATATGGAATTACTGATTAGTAAAATTCCACAGCATCTGTATATACACATCATAAATTTCATAAGTTTTTGTCAGTAACAACTAACAAAATGTTTTTTACAGAGAATTAATGGGTTGGTTATCAACCTTCAAGAAACAGTAATCGCTTGTTAACAAATAAGCTTTCGAAGGGTCTAGAATGCATAAATGTAAAAAAAAAGTGCTATCACACAATATTTATTTGACAATTAGAAAATGTTTTTTTGCATCACCTAATGCCATATCTAGTCCCTGATTAAATTTATTTTTTTAACTTTTTGACTTTTTTTCGAAAATTTTTCTTTTACTAACTTTTTTTCAAACCTCTTTAACTTTTTTTTAGAGTAGGACTAGAATCCAGTTTGGAAACAAAATGAAACCACAACCTTGAATAATATTACAAACAATAGTGCTAAATAACTCCAATTTGAGGATAACCGTTTTAGATATCTGACAGATCATATGAAACGACACGTCGAAACACACTGCACCAAACTCAGCTCATTGGTATCTGTTGATATTTTATCACAATCACAGTTTTCCAAGGCTTTCACGATGCCGGTACGAATAATACTTTCCATGGTACCATCACCTCGCCATAGTACTCCTTGACCTTCACATCCTTCTAGTATAAGCATACGAGGGTCCATCTGGAAGAACCCCAGTTCGCCAGTGATCCGCAAAACCAATGTTTTGGTTGTATTTACAGTAATTCGAATGCTTGCAACTGCATTACCAAATGCAATTTGCATATGCACATATTGCAATTCTTGCAACCGAAAATGTTCCACCAAACTGCTTTGTTGATGGCATGTGGCTGCAATCGGTATCGGGTTGCAACCACAAATTGCACTCAGAGCATCGATAAGTTCATGGCTTACTTGATGAAGAACAGTGTTGCATTCGTTGTACAGACGATGTTTAGCATCGTGAGGTTGTTCGAATGTTGCCTCTGCAGTTATACTTTGAATTGAACCTATTTTTCGCAATATTTGCCTTAATTAATGTCACAGGCGTTGAGTACTTCAATGGATAGATAATTTGCAGAAATGTATGATGCTTTTCCGAAAATTCCGCAAGCAGTTGAGCCGTCTGCTCAGAAAGTGCAGCTGTACCAATACATATTGCTTTCTTCTTCAAAGCTAAAATGAAGTAACTCTTAAAAGAATGAACAATCCTACAGAAGCAATACAGAGATGACTATGCACCCTTGTCGTTTCATTTACCTAACTTCTAAATTTTAAACAAAATTTTTCCATAAAGTTAAAAGTTTCCGTTAGCCAAGTGCTGAAATAGAAAGAAGATAGCATAAGGTTTAAATAAAAATCATTTAATTCATGAAAAGTAGTGAAAATAAGCGCAAAAGTCATGTAACATGAAAATTAAATAGTAGAATGAAAATTAAACAGTACAATTATATTCTTAGGAAAATTTCACATCATATTAATAAGTATTAAAAAATAAAACCTTGTGCTTGCATACAAAATAAGGCATTATGAGCAGCATGTCCAGCAATAACAATCGCATTTGTATCACTTTTTGAAATTAACTGAAATGCTGTATGTGACACGGATGGCACATCGTTATCGGCTGCAATACCTATACTTCGTTCTGTATCGGGACACCAAATAGCTGAAAAAAAAAAAAGTTTGATGGGATGTATTGTGATACTGTACAAAATGAAACTTATCAAATCCAGAAACGTTTAATTTCATTATATGATCCAAATTTTACTACAGTGTTACAGCTTCAATATCAACCATTCTAAATTTCCTTATAATTTCTCATAGAATAATTTGCATTATGAATAATTGTAACAGTAACAGTTCTCATATGTTACTAATGTTTGTTACTTACGGTATTACTGTTGAATATCATTATCTAATCATGTATACAAACTTTACGGTCCTTTTTTTTAGTATATAGCATAAGTCTACAATGTATTAAGATATTATCTCAATAAAGAAATAGAAAAAATCTTTCGGCAAATTTAATTGAAATATCTTCAAAATAGAGCAAACAATGTATTGAGATCATTGAAAGATTATTGGAATAATTCAGATAAGAAATTTCATGCTATACTCTTTGATCGAATAGTAGAGAAACTGAAATAATAATACTAAAATTGGATAATGAATCGAAATAGAAAATTAGAGGTATAAGAAAAAAAAAGTAAAAGAACATTTAATGAGGTTGTTAAAATGCAAATGGCTAAGGTAAACACTAGAGAATATCGAGTGAATTTTACTCTTGCGTTCTGCGACACAAATTTTAAGGCATTATAATTATGTTTAAAGCGAAGTAGGAACAACCAAACAACGGATTCTCTTTTCTTTTTTTTTTCGTTCACGTGATTTGGAAAAAATAATCCGAGAATTAATGCTGCAAAAGTAATAAGGAAAAATGTGAGGAAGAAATTTGAGACAAGATTTTCTTATAGTCCGAATCTTTTGACTTTTGAAGCTTTAGTTGTGAAATGCATGGTCGAACGTTGAGAAAAACTGAGCCTTTTCAGAAAACAGTAATGGGAGCAAACAGCGATCACGTCTTTTTTTAACGAAAGTCTAATTTTGGAAAGCTTTAGAGTATTAATATCGCATTTTTTTAATTATCAGTTTTAGCTCATATCTATTTATTTCCAGCTTTTTTTTCCTTTCTTTTTGAAATCCCGAATTCCAAATCGCAGTATGGCTAACGTTAAGTTCCTTGATAACTTTTAGTACAATTGAAGATTAGCATTGGATGATTTTTCCTAACTGATCATTATCACCATTATTATACTTCTTATTTTCAGGGTTCTCATCTTTTGAACCATTAAGCACTGTATGTTAACAGTTCCCGGACTGAAACACTGAAAGCGCTGCAGATATTGCGAAAAAGCTGTCATTCATTGTAAACTTAAGTAACAAAAAAAAAGGAAAACACTACTCATGTTTGTTTTGCAGTTCTTTGTACCAAATAAACAGCAAGTAAAATATTACTAGCAAAAAAATCGCAAAATACAATGAGCATATGTAATATAATCAAATTTGTTCAAGAGTACATATTTAACTATCTAATAAATTCGTATAATGTGACAAGCGCAAATAGTCGAATTTAGAAAAACATGAAATATTCTGTGAAAAACTCAAATCGTGTTAAAAATACCTTTTAAACTGAACCGTTTAATTTCAGTGATTAACTGAACGTAGTACTCCACCAATTCTTCATCGCTACAAACCAAACCAATCAACAATTTTGTTTGGTCATCCATTGTTGGAGAAAATTTTTAAGACATGTATCAAATCGTCTATATTCGCATTTGCAAATTCGTTTGTCTTGACGTGAACAATTTCACGTTCTCATACACTTCGATATTCTTCATGCGTGCATTTTGACGTCGTTTCAATCGATAACTGACGAACAAAAAGATAAAACTTTTACCAAAAGCAAAGACTAGGATGACTAATTATGCATACTAGCACAAATTAAGTAGAGCACATGAAAATAGGCATATAAAGACGGGTAGTACGTAGAAACGCACAAGTAAAAGGCACGCGAATTTTTACATATTACAAAATCACACGAAAAATACATGTGACAAGAGGTAGAAAAATTGGAATATCTGTGAAGAGACAAAATATGTGCATAATGATGAATGTTACATTAAAATGAGCAAGTGACGGTGAAAATCACGGTGTATGAGACGTATGCACGAATCACGTGAAAACGTGATTATGAAAATGAAGCCATGTCTCACTTTATAGTGAAACAAAATAGTTTATAGAGATGGAAATAAAAATCACTGGGTAGACCTTACTAGGCCACACAAACAAGCAAAAGCACATCCAAAACCAGAAGGTCATATGCTGGGATACATACACATAAACCGTCTTCAGCAATATACGACCACATATATTCGGTTTCTCCTAGACAAAGCAGATATAGAAGACCACATGTAAACAAACTAGAAAAACACAAGTAACGCGGAACAACACTTCGGATAGTCTACATAACAAGAAATACTACATTAAAATATGGTAATCCTAGTTAACAAGAGATGTAACGTGAAAACGCGCATGTAAATCCAAATGTTGGGCAATTCTGTGTATGGCAAAGGTTACCGTAAAAGCGTGCATTTCAAGACAAAATCAGGTAAAAACATACAGTTCAAGACAAAAAGAACAAAAAGAGCGTTAAAATTTGCACATAGTAAACAGAACATGAAAACGTGAATTTACCAGAAGTTCTAGGTTAAAATGTGTACTGAACTATATGAGCAAAATAGATGATATTTGATAGAAGAGTTGATTATTAATTTACTTTTCATTTGCTATCAGCATGATAACATCATCTTACGTGTATTCAAGATGTGCCTAACGCATAACATGTATGTTTGGTGGAGATAAACGTTTGAAAAATCAGTGAAACGACATGTAAAGCATCATCGCCAAAATCATTAAAAAAATCGGACAAAAATTCAATCCAACCATAACAAAACAATCAACGTTGCATGAGTGGGTCACACAACGAACCCGTTTGGTTTGAATGATTTATTGATATAAATTGTTAGTGTGGAAGGAGTTGGTGGTATTTGTTTGGCTAGTTGAGCTTGTAGCCGGTGGTTAATTGGTAGTATTTGTCCTTCCTTTAACTTTTATTTCATTGTATTTCACAGTCACTTAAAGCAACACTTAAAGCAACTTTATTTGCTTACCAAATTTAATTACTTTGTCGGCAATTAGTTCAGTATTTAATTTTGAGGTTTTTTTTTTTCCATTGCTTTAATAATTTCTTTACTTTTGCTTTCCATTCATCACTTTCACTCTTTTTTTTATCTTTTCATCATTTAATTATTTTGGTTCATTATGTCGTTTTAACCCTTGTTCAGTTTTCGATATTTGTAATAAAATTTACAAGTTTTCCCTGGTTAAAATGACGTCACTTCCTCTAAGCACTGAACTAATTTTAAATTGACTATCCTAAAATCTCGATTTCATTTGAAGTGAATGGCAATGTCCGATGAGGAGTTATTTGTTGGTGATGAAAATGATACTAATTCGAAAGTCCCCGCACATGAAGCAGATTCACACGATCCAACAATGCAACAGCAGGTAAATATTATTTCAAACAAACATCTTACATGGATTTCGTTTTGTAGACAGCATAATAAGCAGGAATAAGATACTAAGAATCTTTCACCTGTTGCATAATAAGTAGGAATCACTTTGCATACTTTGAATGCAAGTACACCAAACATACGTTATGCGCTCTGATGCACTTTTATAATATGCGTTTTTTGTCCGCCACAGTTTTATTTCCGTACTTCACACTCATGGTATATTTCTACAGCTTTGTGATTTCCATTCTGGGTAACTTTCGAACTTATTAGTGACATCGTTTTTTTCAATTATCAATAAGTCCATAAGTCCGAATATCTTGGTTCTCACATAATGTTTTCATAACCATATAATCATCATTTAATATATCCACATAGTACCTCCATAGTCACTTATTCACAAACGCGGAACATCACATAATTTTGTTGTTATTACCGTACAACTTATTTCCTCTTAATTTATTTTAAATATCTATTAAGAAAAACCCAATTAGATGTTCTTTTGTTTAATTTGAAGTAATAAAATACCACTTTTCATAGAAGCATTGATGTAACGATCAGCCGTAAAATTTACTGATTCTTTTCTCCAGGGAGAAGTACTGTCTAATCCGCCTAGTAACAATGCTTCGGAAGCTTCATCGTCCAGTACTTTCCTTACAAATAATGTTAGTTCATCCTGATCAAATGAACTATCCAAATATTAATTAGAGGGTATAAAGGAACACACTTTCTTTGGAATTATGTTTCGTTAATATATATTTTCTACACGACCTATACACAGCTATACATATACAAACTATAGCTACACATATACATATAAGTTCAGCGATTTGTTATCCCTGACATACGAAGACTTCGGGGTTTGCAATATCAAGATTGCCCTGCACTCAATATTTTTGCTCGAGGTAATGAACGCATGTCCGATATATATATTCCAAGATTTCATGTCCCGAAAAATTCTTCAAATTTGCATGTAAGACATTCCTTTCTCTTCTTTTTTCAACCAATTTTTTTAGATCTCTCAGAGTGGCATTTTAAAAGAATTAGTGAAAATTCGAAACCTGCAGGTTTAAATGAAACACAGAATATTTTTTGCCTCACCGACAAAGGAAATTTGTTCTGTTGAAGCTATGTACGATTATGCACAGTCATAAAGAATTAACTTGAAAAATATATATATAAATAATTAAGTGAGTGAGTTTTGCTGGACGATGGAGAGCATAGGTTTTTTAGGCACAAGTATCAACCACGAGAAAACGGAATCATTTGCGATTGCAGAATTCAAACTTAAATGTTGCTGGTTCGAGTTCGATTTCAAGTTCAAGTCCCGGACAGAGTGGTACAAATATCATTCCTCAGAAACGTTTGTTTTCACCGAATAGTTCAGCTTGTACAGGTGTTACCCATCGTCCATCAGTCGATCTGTCTGCTTGTGGTTCCGAATTTGCACGCTCTCCGGATGATGCTATACGTCATGGTGAAGATTTCATCGGAAATTATGGCCCATGTAATAGTGAAACTGCCAGGAATCAATCCAGTCTAGACATTCTAATTCTGCCTCAGTGCTAATCTACATTTCAATGAGAAACTGATAATAAAAAAGAGTTGATATTGTCTTGACGAATTTCGCTATGAATTGCAGACTCGAAAACCGAAGGTTCAATAAAGCTTAATATATCGAACATGGGAGCACTGAGACAAAAAGTAACCACGTCTTTCCATACAATTGCGAACCTACCATGGTATGTTTCCTTGTACAAATGGTTCAGGTAATTTAATAACATAACTGAGTTCATGATGAAAAATTGGAGGAGTTGGGAGTGTCGAATCACAACGGTACATGTCCTTCGAAAGTTTAAGGAAAATCAGGAAGGTCTTTAGTAGATTTTGACTCAACTGAAAAAAATGAAATAAGTGGTTTTTATAGAACAAACGAATAGTTTTAGAAAAATGTTTGTCTTAATTGTTAAGTGAACTCAAATAGGTCCTTGTGGAATAAATTTGTTTTTCGAAATAAAGCATCAGCTAATTTTTTTGTATGAGTAAATTTAGCTACAAATGAAATAAGATTTACATTTCAGGCGTTTGGCAGCTAAAACCGAATGTACGAAGCGAACCAGCAATGTAAAGTTTTTCAGTGTATACATAGATTGCAATCCGGAAAGTGAATCAACATTGTGGAGTTGTGATGCTATCGTTGAGTTCCGCTTGATTTCCCAAAAAGCCGACATTCCTAATTTTAGTCGTCAGGTAATCTACAAGACTGATTTGAATTGTTTTACCAATTGCCTGGCATATAAATGTGATACGACATGAGATTCACGACATTATCAATCTAGTTATCAATTTATAATTAAGAAACGATTAACACAGTTATAATGCGATTTAAATTATTGTTGCTTGATTTACAATTTAACTTCTCATAATTTATTTCAGTTTACAAACAAGTTCAATTATAATTCAAATAATTGGGGCTTTCCGTCGTTCATGGAGTGGAACGAAATACTGAATGTCGATAAAGGTTTCATCCGTGGCGATCGTGTTGTAGTTGAAGCACATATTACTGTACAGAAAGTCGTTGGTGTGAGGTAGAGCTTGTTTATGCTTTTCTTATTTCCTTTTTATCGCCTTAAGTCTTTGTCCTTTGGGCAAGTCAACATGCGGATGAGTTGAAATACGCGAGTAGTAATTGGGTTGAATTTTAAAACAGTTTTGATATTCTGAAGTCGTATATCTGAATTTGTTTATACTGTGCGGTGAAAGTGTTTGATCGTGACATTTTTGGATAGTTTACTTCGACTAAAAATGAAGAGTTGTTCAGTTTAATTTATATCACCAACACTTTAATTCGAGCAAGCTAAAAGTTGAAAGTTCGTGGCTTTGTATTAGCTACAACTTAAGGATTTTTCACGGTTGTTTTCAGAAAAAATCCGACATTTGATTTCACCGTCCCACAGCCACATACGTCAGATGGCGTGCTTGTTATCGATGGTATTCGTTTGCATGTTAGCAAAGCGGTATTATTGCTTTATTTTTCTTTACTCCTGTTTAAGAAATTACGAAGGGAGTATAGGATGCAGAGAAAAGAAGGAAAGAAAAAAGAACACTTGCGCCGTGTTCACATACGTCAGTTTATATTGCTAGTAACTGAAGAAGGAAGATAAAGCTTCTTATTCTATGAATATCGGAATACTTGTTCTGGGTTTTAAATTAATTAATGGTGCCAAAATATTTTACATTATAATGGCATATACACTGCACTGCTGATTAGAATTAATTGTGTGACTTTTTTATTTCGTCGCTTATGTTTGAAATTCATTGCAGTATCTGGCCTTGTATTCACCCGTTTTCCACGCTATGTTCTTTTCAAAGTTTAGTGAAAGAGACAAAAAAGAAATCACTGTTGAGGACGTCATTCTTGACGAATTCATTGAATTACTAAGCGTTGTATATCCGTCTCATAAACCGGTATCAGGTAAATGTTTACCAAATTTGAGTGGAAGAGGCGGCTTAGTATAAAGCCAGAAAGGAGGCTGAGATAAAACGAAAAAAGTAGGCGTTCTGCTGAACTTACTGATTGATTAAAATGTTATGAATTACTGAAAGATGTCATAATACCATGAGTGCAAGTTATATATTTCAGCTGAAAATGTAGAATTTTTGCTGGAGCTTGGTGATAAATTCGAAATTCAATTTGTAATCGATGAATGTGAGAGATTTCTGATGCGATCCGATGACATTGCTGTAGTCACGAAACTTGTTTGGGCTGATCAGTATTGTCTTGCTAAATTACAGGTATTTCTTTCCTTCCATACCAATGTAGCCCCGTTATCTCCCTAATCCTAATCCAATAATCAGAATTACCAAAATATTCGAATATTCAGTATAATTCTAAGAGTAACATCGCTTGATTAGCCAGCGTATCCGTGAATCATCATACAGCAGAAAGCTGTTGATGCTAACCGTCTTCGTCAACCTATCGACTTCTCTTGGTTCGTTTGACTCTTTGAGGAAAGTGAGGAAAAGGTTATGGCTATCACCACCATTCCGTGATGAAACAACCACTATTCCGTGATGGAACACTAGGTTTTTCTTCAAGAGTCGTTGATTTGTTTTACCTTCTATCCAACTTGTTAACTTAAAAATATTCGACATAACAGGTATTTCCCACTCTTGCTTTTATAAATAAATTCGTGGTTCTTAAGTTCACAGGTCTACCTT